TCTCTTTTTTTTTCCTGCTTTTTCTCCCCAAATGCCCCCAGTACATAGTTGTATATTTTAGTTGTGGGCCCTATCTAGTTATGGCATGTGGGACACCGCCTCACCATGGCCTGACGAGTGGTGCCATGTCCGCGCCCAGGATCCCAACAAGCAAAACCCCGGGCTGCCGAAGTGGAGCACACAAACTTAACCACTCCGCCACAGGGCCAGCCCCTAGATAAATGTTTCTTATATCCTTCATTACAGCACAAACTTCTTTACACACTTTTATTCTAGGAAACCATCTTGTTATTCAACTTTTTAAATGTTACTTTGCTCTTCTTTTTTTCAAACCTACCAGGTGGCAAGCACAACTAAGCCCCTGATGTACAGTTTATTTTTATTTATTTTTTTCTTTAAAGATTGGCACCTGACCTAACATCTGTTGCCAGTCGTTTTTTTTTTTTCTTTCTTCTCCCCAAATCCCCCCAGTACACAGTTGTATATTCTAGTTGTGGGTCCTTCTTGTTCTCCTGTTTGGGACACCTCCTCAGCATGGTTTGATGAATGGTGCCATGTCCGCGCCCAGGATCGGAACCAGTGAAACCCTGGGCCGCCGAAGTGGAGCGCATGAACTTAACCACTCGGCCACGGGGCCAGCCCCTGTACTCTGTTTATTTTCATTCTAACCCTCATTTTAATTGGAACCCTTGTGCATTACTGGTAGGAATGTAAAATGGTACAGCCACGGTGGAAAACAGTTTCCAATCCTCTAAAGTAAGATTCATTATTGTCCCTGTCTTAAGGCCGGGTTATAACTAAGGCTCAAAGAAACTGAGTAAACTAGCTCCAGGCCTCTCAGGCCAGATTCGTAACTAACAGACTTATCTTGACTCCAAAGCCCATATTTTCCACTACACTATACTTCCTCCGTGACGCTAACTTTAGGAAATCAGTTAGCCCATATTACTACCAATGCAATGACAGAACAGCGGCTGAGGAGGAACTTTCTGAAAAGTAGAAAACACCAATATCTTATTCAAATGACAACATTTTAACTGCCATCCTCTTTGGGAAAAGAATTGCAAGATTATGCAGGAACGCATGTTAAAAAAAAAATGACGGGGGGGGGGGGAATAAAATCCCTCAGGGGGCACTTCTGGGTGGTGATATTGGGTCTTTAAAGTTATGCTTATGCTGCTCATTTTAAGTGCTTCAGAGCACTGGGGGAGGGGGCAGTGATGCTGTCTGTTCTCTGTCCACTGCCTCCCCACGGCCCACTCTTTGTTCTCCCAGAGCTGACTGAACTCTTGCAAGAAATATTCCCACGGGCCGGAGACTGCACCCAAGTGAACACTGTATAACTACTTCCTCCCCTCCAGGGCAGCAGAATCACTTCTGTCAAGGGAGCTTTTGGAAACAGCTTATAATACTATATTCAGCCACACCATGTTCTAACTGGAGGAAAAGGTCACTGCCTCCCGCTACCGCCCCCCGGGCCCAGGACTTCTTTCTCCAGACAGGTCCCAGGCGGTGGTAATGGAGGCCACTCGAGAAGCTGGTGCCCCATCCTCTACAACCAAAGACAGAAGGAGGAGGTCTCTGTTTCCCATCCACTCCCTCCAGCTTTCCACAGTGGTCAGACTGACAGGTAAACAGGAAGCCAAGGAGAGAGAAGGGATGTTCCTGTTCCCTGTGATCAGCTCAGCCTCAGTCAGAAAAGCTGGACCTCCACTCCCACCCAACTTCTAAGAAAAAAGTAGGATCCATCATTCATGTATATATTCATCCATCTATTCATCCTACGAATGTTTACTGAACATATACTGTGTGCTAGGTGCCATCATAGTAAAACGCCTGCTACCCTCATAGAACAGATAATTTAGTAGGGAGAAACAACGAACAAGATAAATAAGTATATCATATATTCGCAAATGAAAAAGAATTACAGAAAAAATAAAATTGGAGATGTGTATAGGGAATACGTGTGTGTGTGTGTGTATAACTAGGAGGACAAGTTATAACCCTCAATGAAACAAAACCTTCTATTTCTGAGGGTGGGCAATTTTTAAACATGTCAGATTACTTTAAATGCCAATGGAGACCTCACATGTTTAAGCTCTTACTGTCTATCAACAAATTCAGCATCAAAATAAAAGAGACACTTCTTCATTAGTGCTCCTGTACATTTTATTTCCAACCCCTCTTAACCATCTCTACTTGCCTCTCTCCAAAGAAAAGCCTAGAACCAGTCAGAATGCACATCATGTTAGCCCCTACTGTTTTCATAGATAAACTAAGTTTTAAATCTTTAAAATAAATTGCTAAAAATCTACCAAACTAGAATTCTGCATTTTCTGAAAACTGCCACCAACATGGAACTGCCCTTGGTATCGCATCAGTCTTGATTTCCCAATGTTCGTTAAGTGGCGCCATTAAGACCAGCCCATCAGTGGATGTGGTAACTCGGGGTTGCTCAATCGGCACAGCCATGTCATTTGCTTCCCAGCTAAATGTCCAAAGGTAAAGTATCCAGCTGCCAAGATGTCATCCTCTCACAATCAACGGGAGGTTCTGAATCTCCAAAAAATAAAGCAAAGTGTCATGTGCCTTTTTGTGAGGTATTTCCCTCCCTTTTTTTGGCTGATCTTACTGCCTTCAAGAATAAGAAAATTGTGGACATCCACTGTAAACTCAAACCAAAGTCAACACCAAGTAAGGCCAAAGCCACAGATACAATGACATCAGACCAAGTGGATCTGGGAATGCAACAGGAGGGGGACCGCATCATTTTGAGTGCATCACAGAGAGACCCTGGACAACAAGCCAGGCTCTCCAGAAGGGAAGCTGGCCTGAATCTCTATCAGGCAGCCCATCAGAGGGGTTGCCTTCCTTGTCTGGACTCATCTCCCCTGCTAGACGGTGAATAACCTGAAGTCTTTCCCAAAGCAGCACAAGAGCATCTCACACAGTCAGCGTGCAGTGAACTAAGCGAATGAAAGCACTTGCTGGACAAACGCCCCTATGTTTCCCATTTCACACATCTTCAAGCCCTGCCCTTACCCTCTAGTAAACGAGATCATTTATAGGCCAGGTGCCGTGCTTGACGCACCAAAAACTAAGATACACTGCCCGCAAACGACTGGGGGGGACAAATCCTGCCTCTGGCCTCTTTGCCTCTGATGGGCCTCACAGGGCACCACCAACCTCCATTTCCCAAGAGCTCCGAGATGAAGCGCCACCCTGCTGCTCAGGGGCCCACCAAAGCCCCTATGGCCTCCTGCCTCCTACACTAACTCCCTCCCTCAGAGTTTAAAACAGCTCCCAGAGAAGACCCGCCTGCTGCCCAACTTGTCCCCACTGCTCACCACGACCCTAGGTCACCCCAGTAGCCCTTTCATCCAGACTCCTCAACTACCCCATCACTCCTCCATCCAGAACCCCACCAACTCCTACCCACTCCTTCAGGCTCAGTGAAGTCTGAGCTCCCTAACAAATCCAACTGCCAGCTTCTCGCTTTCTGAGTCTGAAGTAGAGGAACGGTAACTTTGCACTTGACTCCGCTGTCTCAGGGTGTATTGATCACATTTCCCCAGAAGACTTTACTCCACAAGGCTTCCCCCAGAAAAAGCAGTCACCAACAACGAGCCCAGGGACCAAGCTTGGTCCCTTGACCTCTCTCTCTCTGACCCTGGTCTCCTCCTTGGTGTAAGGAGGGATGTGATAGGAAGCTCTAAAGTCCCTCTTATTTCATATTCCAAATTTTGAAAATTCCATATAGGTTCCCTAGATACAAGTGAAAAAGGCTAATAAACTGTTCCTCCATTGAGCCGTTTAAACAAGGGTCCCAGCTAATGCAATCTGGTCTCAATGTTTTCAAATGCTTGATTTTCTAAGAGCTTTGGATGATAACTTTTAGAAAAAATGCTTTGTTTTTCATACATTTTACAAGCCTGAGTTTTTCACTCCTATCATTCCTTGGAAGAAACTGAAGGGGCTGAGGGAACAGACCTGCTCAATTTTGCTATTAAGATCATGAGCTCGGGATTCGCACTGCCTCGGTTTCTCCTCCGGACGTGGACGCGGCCCCCGACCCGCCCTGCCCACGCGCCCGAGGGTCCCGGATAGCCAGGGCCTCCCGAGCTGCGCCCCGCCGAGGGCCGGCCGTGTGTCCTCAGCTGACACACCACCTGGAGCCTCGGGCGCGTCCAGATGGCCGGGCCGGCCGGGGCGCAGCCCGCTGTCACCTGGCCCCGCACAGCGGCCCGCGCTCCTCGGGTCACGCTCCAGCCCGCGCTTCTCCTCCGATTCCGAGCCAACTCTGGCCTCCAGGCGGCCCCTGCGCCAGGCGGCGAAGCCACCTGCCTCGCCCGGGAAAATGCACGAGCCCGCAAGTCCCTCTGCCACAGCCCGACGGGGGCTGGCGACAGGAATGCAGCGGAAAGGAAAACAAGCCGCGGCAGGGCCGGCCCGCCCGGCGGCTCCCCGAAACCGCCACCTGCGGGCAGCCGCGCGCTGGGGGCCGCGGGCCCGGCGGGGAGCGAGGTCTGGGGCCGGGCCGCGCGCCCGCCCGCCCCCCGGCGCCCCTTACCCGTGAAGCGGCCGCCCCCCTCGCCGTGCCCGCGGCGCCGCTGCAGGATGAAGTAGCAGCTGCTCTTCTGAGTCACCCAGAGCTTCAAGGCGTTCTTCAGCAGCACCTCCTCGGGCTTGAGCCACATCGCAGCGGTCCGGCCGCGCCCGCGGGCCCCGGCTCACATCGCCCCGGCCGCCGGCCGCGCCGGGCCGAGCCCGCTCGGAAGGAGGCGGCGGCGGCGGGGACCGCAGCCAGCGGATCCCTACGCGCGGAGTCCGGGAGCGCGGCGGGCGCTGCTCGCCCCTCGCAGCCCGCGCGGCCCGTGTGCCGGCCCCGCCCCGGCCCCGCCCCCGAGCCCGGCCAGGCCCCGCCCCCGGCCCCGCCCCCGCCCGCTCCCGCGGCGCCGCCCGCGTTTCCGAGTCCAGCCGGTCGGCGCACAGTTCCGGAGCCGAGGGAGGAAGTCCAGTCCCTGCCGCCAGGGTCCCGCTCGGCGCCCCGCGGCGCTCCCCGCCCCTCCTCCGCCCCTCCTGGGGGCCGCTCGGACGGCGCAGTCGTCTCCCCGCCCCCGGGAAAGAGGCGTCGCGTTCTCTCTCACAGCTGCGGGTCGCCCCACCTGGGGCACTTGTCTTTGGGGGATGGAATGCTCGCTAGAAAACCTAGGTGTGTTTGGAATAACGTAGCATTTAAAATAACAAGAAACATCTTTACAAATAACAAGAAAATAGCATTCAGTATTAAAATAATTATTTTCCGACTTTTTAGATGCTAAGCACACGTTTTTTATATTCTCACCAGGGATCCAACGGAGCTGCTGAAGAGGCAGCGATGTCGTAGGCCCCTGAGACGAGGATGAGACCATCGCAGTCCTGGGCGCCCCTCGTGGGCACAGATGTCGGTGTTAGGGCCCCCGCGGGTCGCCTCCGCAGGAGTGACCCGTCACGTTTGTTGTGAACGAATGAAAAGCTGGGAAGTATGGAGTAGGTCCTAGTAAAGAAAAGCTATAGGGAATGTGGAGGTAGGCTTTAATGAGTGTTTCCTCAAAGCTCTGGTAGAAATAGACGCCTGGTGGCTGGCGTTGAACAGGCTGGGGGCCTCCAAGGAGCCCTCAGGGAGGCAGTTACATCCAACACCCTAACAAAGGAGAGGAAAAGAAAAACCCCCTCAAAATGTCCCTCGGGTTTGACAAAGGGATCCCGGACAAAATGTGACTGTTAATTACGACAGAACTGAAAAGCAGAAGTAAAGTAAATCCCCCCAGGACGCCTGGGAACTGGGTGAACCCTCTTCCCTGGAAGCCAAGGAACCAACTGTTTGCAGAGGATCAGAAGGGATCAGCTCAGAAGCCCGGACCTGGCCTGGCACATAGAAGCCACCGAAGGGGTCCTGTGCCAAGGACAAACAGGAACGCCCACCCAGTGGGCGGGCCGTCCGTGGTCCAGAACTGGCAGGCCACTGACAAATATCCTCTGAGTAAAACTAAGGAAGGACGTCAGCTATCATCAGGGGGACTTGTGTGCCCCAGAGCCTACAGGGTGCTCAGGGACTGCAAGAAGATCTTCCTTCCAGAAACATTCAGTGGCACCTCCCTTTCTCCGACACTCTGCCGCGCCATGGAATTGCAGAGAAGAATGGGAGGGGAGCCTTGCCCTGAAGAACTCACAGGTAGGAAAATAGGCACAGAACAGTGTAGAGAGAGTCACGGTGGGGACAGAGGGAATGCACACAGCCAACCATCGGTGCCTCGGGGGGGGGGGGGGGGGACTGAGAAAGCCTCACGTAACAGCTGTTACTTGACCAGGGCTTGAAAAATGAATGTGTTTGCCACGAGGTCAAGTAGGGGAGGGCATGTCTGGTGGATGGAACTGCTCTTATGACGTCGTGATTTAGGGGACGCCTCTGGAGATAAACTGCTCTGGATCAAATCCCATTCCTGCTGCTCGTTAGCTGTGTGACCTTGACCTTGGGCACGTTATGAATCTCAGTGAGCTTCAGTCTACTCAACTATAAAGTTGGGAAATCATAGTTCCTCCTTTATAGGTACTATCTGCTGTATATTTTGTTTAAGTACTTGGAACACACGTAAGCACTCAATAAATGTCACCTATTATTACTAAATGTACAGATTTCCTGGAGGTGAAACAATTCACATACACTCGCTCATATTTTAAACATTAAGCTCTTATTATCTACCAAATACTAAATATGTCAGAAGCATAGAAAGGGATATATGAAAGCAGTTGAGAGGGGATGGGAAGAGTCCCCTTGTGGGTACTGTGCACTGACCTCTCCCTTCCTGACCTGAGGCTCCTGCCTTTGCCTCCCAGTAGCCAAGTCAAATAGAAACCAAAAGGCAAAGGAGCAGTCTGCAGACGTCTGCCTCCCACACAGAGCAAGGTAGAGAAGATTGGAGAGGGGATCTGGAGGGGCCAGTGAAGAATATCCAGGACAGGTGTTAACAACTTCCTACTGTTGTTCATCTCTGGGTGCTCATCACCCCTTTTTGGAGTTGTGGGTTGAACTGTGTCCCCCAAAATCCATATGTTGAAGTCCTAATCCACAGTACCTCAGAACGGGACCTTATTTGGAAACAGGGTCATTGCAGATATAATCAGTTAAGTTAGCGAGATCATTAGGGTGGGCCCTAATCCAATGAGACTAGTGTCCTTATAAAAGGGAAATTTGGAGAAAGACATGCACACACGGAGAACACCATATGAAAATGGGAGTTATGCCACAAGCCAAGGCACTGCCAGAAGTTAGGAGAAAGGCCTGGAACAGATCCTTCTGCCTGCTGCCCTTAGAAGGAACCAACCCTACCAACACCTTGATCTCCGACTTCTAGCCTCTAGAACTGTGAGACGGTTTCTGCTGTTTAAGCCACATCGGTTGTGGGATTTTGTTATGGCAGTCCTAGCAAACAAATATAGTCGGCTCTCTAATCCTCTCCACATCTATTCAGTAGCAAGTCCCTTGAACCATTCTGAGTTGGATTCTGTTTCCTCCCAGACCCTGACTGATGCCAGTAGTGCCCCCAGGAAACACAGTTCCTCAATATGGAGTTTGGCTGGGTTGCTCATGTATTTGTGCATGCATAGGGAGCAAAAAGGATGTGGTAACGTGTGGCCTACCGTGGCAGCAGGATTACTCACATTAGTACCGGTGGTGGTGTGAGGGGCAGATGGAGGACAAAGCTTTGGGGACTCTTGCTGCTGTTGCACTTCATTGCTATAGCAACAATGATAATTACAAAGATTGTAGAGTGAGATTACTGTTTCTAACTGCCCTCGAGAGTTTAAAAAAACAAAAAAAAAAAACGATAAGCTTGAAGCATTAAATTCCCATATGAAGGTACAGATGTGAAATTCAAAGACTTCTCTATCTGGTATATTCATGGGACAGACAAGGGTCATCTACAGATCCTCGATGTAATTGTTCAGTTTACAGAATTATTGCAAAGGTTAAGTACTCAACCTCAGCAACTTCTCCTGCTAAGAACAGGATGCTGATTGGGAAGTAGGATCATAGACTTGTGATGGGAATATTGGGCAGACGCAGACAAAGAGATAATTATGTGATGCCGTAGAGGTGTTAGCTCATGCTACAAGAGCAATCATATTGCAATCTCTTTTTTTTGGGGGGGGGGAAGATTAGCCCTGAGCTAACTACTGCCAGTCCTCCTCATTTTGCTGAGGAAGACAGGTCCTGAGCTAACATCCGTGCCCATCCTTCTCCACTCTATATGAGGGACGCCTACCACAGCATAGCTTTTGCCTAGTGGTGCCATGTCCGCACCCGGGATCCGAACCGGCGAACCCCAGGCCGCTGAGAAGTGGAATGTGCGCACTTAACCGCTGTGCCACTGAGCTGACCCCTCATACTGCAATCTAAAGTATCAAATCAATATGTTGTATACCTAAAACTTACACATTATATATCAGTTCTATGGCAAATTTTAAAAAAAGTTGGGTACAAAAAAAAAATAAGAGAGAGAAAATAACAGAATTAGAACAGAAATTGATAGAATTATCAAAAAATTATTAAAACAAATATGTAATAGAGAAAACAGGAAAACCCAAAAGTTGGATATTGAAAAATTAATATAGTCTCTTGTAAAACTGATCAATAGAGAGAGGAAGAAAGAGGGGAGATTCAAAATAAAACTTCACAAATGCAAAATAAATCATTGCAGATTCTAGACATACTGAACAAACAATACTAATGTATTATTGATTTTTTTTTTTTAAAAAAAAGCTGAGCTCCCACATCCCAAGCCTTCCTTGCCCACAGAAGCAGCCGTCCTCCCCGGTGTGAGGAAGTTAGCCTCACCCACATGAAGACCTTTCAAGACTCCACCTGGGGCCTCTGCCTCCACGCGGATACCTAGTCTGCTCAGAACCTGCTCACACTGCACCTCGTCGAATCCAGGCCCATAATAAGAGTAAACTCCCAGCAGAGCCCAGAAAGGGAACTGCAGGGTCTGCTGGGGAGGAGGTGGAGATAGATTATACCCCAAGGGAGTTGGAAAATGTTGCTAATATGTGTTGAGAGGATGCTGAGGATCACATGTGGGAATGGAATCTAGAGTATTAAACCAAGGAGAAGGAAATATAAGTTTGGATTCAGCAAAATTTATGAATATGTATACACTCACCCAGGACTCATGATGTAATGCGTGATATTCAGCACCTGTGAGTGGCTCTAAAGTTTGATTCCTCGGTTTATTGAAGCCTGGATTTAACAATGGCCTATAGTCAATGAGATTGAGATGCCAGAACTTCCCAGGCATATTGTAGATAAGAAAAGTGTCTGAAGGCTTAGGAGATGGGAATGTTTGAGTGGATATATTATATGCAACCTTTTCAACCACCACCCCACAACCACACCATGCCCCTGGCCAACAGGGCCCAGAGAACGTCGTCATCAAGACATTAAGAAATGTAGGGAATTTCTTCTTCCAGTAATGGCAGCTAAAGACCAACCCTGTTGCTGAAAACAACCATAAAAGCTGAACAAAGTTTAAAAAAGATCTGTTTCAAGTCATGACAGAACTACTATGGTAGCAAGCATTTGAGGGACCAAATCTGGGGAGGTGAACCCAATAGATAGGCGTGGTTTTCCTTTTAAAGTATTTGCTGATTCCCAAGTGGCATCTGGGATACTAAGAAGCCAAGCAGAGCTTCTAGAAGTTTACAGGCCCAAAGAGACAAAAATTGAAGTTAGGCTCCCCAAAGTGTTACATTCTTAGAGTAGAGAGGAACCAGAAGAAGACAAGGCTTCACAAAGACTAAAGCTGCCCAGCCCACAAGCATCTCAGTGCCTGATTGACATATGATCTCTCCCATCCTAATTACCCGCCAGAAGCAAAAGTAAGTCCTAATCCTCCCAACAGATGATAATGCCATCCAGTGCCTCAATTTTTTTTTTCCTGTGATCTTTCATACACAGTATTCAGCATCAATACTTTACCAGGCATAATAAGAAACAAGACCATATGAATAAAAATCAAGAGAAAAAGAACAAAATCTCTTAGTGACAAATTCATGAAATAGCTATATTTTGGTGTTACAAGAAGCAGAGTAGAACATATGTAGATAATAAATTCAAGAATTGAGATGAAAATATAGAGAATTTCAGCAAAGAACTAGAAAAAATATATATATTTTTTAAAGGATCAAATGGAAATCCTAGAATAGAAGAAATACAATACCTGAAATTAAGAACTCTGTAGAGGGGCCAGCCTGGTGCCACAGCAGTTAAGTGTGCATGTTCCACTTTGGTGGCCCAGGGTTCACTGGTTCTGATCCTGGGTGCGGACATGGCACTGGTTGGCAAGCCATCCTGTTGTAGGCATCCCACATATAAAGTAGAAGAAGATGGGCATGGATGTTAGCTCAGGGCCAGTCTTCTTCAGCAGAATGAGGAGGATTGGCAGCAGATGTTAGCTCAGGGCTAACCCTCCAAAAAAAAAAAAGGACTCTGCAGATGGGTATAACAGTAGATTACACAAAGTTAGAGCATTAGTGAACTGGAAGATTAATCAAAAGAAAATAGGCAGATATTTCTCCCAGGAAGATAAGCAAATGGACAACAAGCACATGAAGGGATGCTCAACATCATTAGCCATCAAGGAAATGCACATCAAAGCTACAACGAGATACCGCATTGACTCACCAGGATGGCTATAATTAGAAGAAAACACAGACAGTAACAAGTGTTGGTGAAATTGGAACTGTCATATGTTGCCAGTGAGAATGTAAATGGTGTAACCACTTTAGAAGACAGTTTGAAAGTTCTTCAGAAAGTTAAACATAGGGCCTGGCCCCGTGGCCAAGTGCTTAAGTTCACACGCTCTGCTTTGGAGGCCCAGGGTTTCACTGGTTCAGATCCTCGGCGTGGACATGGCACCACTCATCAAGCCATACTGAGGCAGAATCCCATATGCCACAACTAGAAGGACGCACAACTAAAAATATACAGCTATGCACCAGGGGCCTTTTGGAGAAAAAGGAAAACTAAAATCTTTAGGGAAAAAAAAAAAAGGTTAAACATAAAGTTACTATATGACCCAACAATTCTACTCCTAGGTGTATATCCAAGAGAATTGAAAACCTATGTTCACATAAAAACTTGTACATGAATGTTCCTAGCATATTATTCATAAT